AAGGTGTAAAAGTCCTTCGTCTACCCGTGCCCAGGTGCTGGGAGGAACGAGAGGGAGGAAAAAGAAAGGAGAGACAGACGGACGGAATGAGGGAGAGGGAGAGACCGCAGAGTTGTTCGGCTGGTCTAATGATCCAATCCCTGCGACATTCCCGGAGGCAATTAATAATAGTCGGACCTGCTGGAGCGGCTCTCCGTGTCGTGCCCCCCCCCCCCCCCCCCTCTATCTCCGCACACTCATCAATCCTCGCGGAGGAAAACTTTTCGCTTCTTCAACTCCGCTTTCCTCCCTTAAGCGATTGCTTCTCTATCTGATCGTGCGATCGTTCAGAACGGTTTCGTCGCCGTTTCATTGATTCTGTTTTCTCTCGGAGTCTGCGGATGTATTTCTCTTAACATCCTATCGTACCTCCTGATGTTCATTGCCTGAATTGAATCTATATTGAATCACACCATGTTTCCGACAGAAAACGTCACGTAGCTCGGACAAATCTGCTCGAAAATCAAGTGTACATTTCCAGGCTGTCGTTACTTTTGCCGTGAAAATGCGGTTACGCGGTCGACGTGAATGTCCGGCTTGCGGGGGTTCTTGACCGCCGCGGGGAGGTCACCCTCCTTCCTCCTTTGTGTCACACCCACCATCGCGATGGGGCTATACGTCAGGTTGCGGAAGGCTGGGCGAGAGAGAGAGAGAGAGAGAGAGAGAGAGAGAGAGAGAGAGAGAGAGAGAGAGAGAGGGTAGAGAGACCATTGTGATGAAGATGCCTCTGCTCTGCGGGCAGCCTCCCCTCCCGGGGCCAGATCCAGATCTGGCCTCAGCCTCCCGGGTCGTTATCGAGACCGTCTGCATTGCACTGCCCCCCCCCCCTCTCTCTCGAGTTGCCCGCCCCAGTTTAGGCAGTCTGGTCCGCAGTCTGTGCGCCCTCGTCTCTGGACCTCTCTTTTTGTCCGGCGCTCGGTTCGATTTACTGGTCTTGTTCTTGTGCACGGGGACCCTCGCCCCCCCTGGCGGGTTGGCTCGCCCTTATCTGCTACAGGGATAGCATGTGGGGCCGCGTGGGCGGGACGCGGACCTGCAGGACCTCGAGCGCGAAAAAGTTGCCACGCTTATCTGGCTGCATGCGTTTTTGTGTTGTATTTCTGTGACCGTCCGCTGACCTGCTGTTGTTGTTGTGTGTTGCAGGTACTCCTCGAGGGGGGACGGACAGCTGCCCCTGCAGCCCGGTAATCAACAGCGAGCCAAGCCACGGTACGTCCCACCAAAAAATATTTTTAAAGGGCGACTTAGAACACGAAATTAATTTTGTCTGGAAGAATATAATCATTCTCTAACTAAACGTTTTGCCCGAATTGTGGTCGGATCACCCAAAAAGTGCATCCGTTATCTGCTGTTACGAAATTGCTCCATAAGTTCAGAAATGCATGGTCTCGTGGTGCCTGTTACGTAGGCAACATATTGTCTGTAGTGCTTGCGTGTACTGCGGTGTGGCCTACCCTGAGTCTCGCAGGCGCCTAACTCTCGTAATTTGCCGAATGCTCGAATGAGTATGAGGAACGGATGTGTATTTAAGACGATCCCTAAGAAGGACAAAGTTATTGCAGTGCTGTGTTAATGTCTTTTCGGTGTTAGAGGCGCCGAACTACAGGGCGGCTAAACGCGGACTTTACTGCTGGCGTATTTACCACCTGCGAGACAACTTGTCATATTTCCTAAACGATAATAGTATTTCAAAGTATCACAATCTTGCGACTTGCTCTAATGTATAAGTACGACTTACTTAAAATGATCAGACAAATTTTGATAAGTGTTCTCTACATTTCTCTTACACAATTGGAAAAAAAAAAAGTCTATTGAACTTGAAACTAGCGTTCAAGCTGTCCAGCGACCTTTACAACCACCTATGTATTCTTCATGTATTGTGGATTCTGAGATGAAAGGAGGCCCTCTAAATTCTACGACAGCAGAGCCGGCAATACCTTTTCCCCAACACGAATGAGATTTGAGTTGGTAAAGAGCGAGTAAAGATAACACAATCATAGATTTGTTACGTTTTCGGGAGATTTTCAATTGGAGTTAGTGTGTCATTTCATTTTATTTCATCATTCGTTTTGTTGATTTTCAGGCTGGATACTCACTCGCTGCCGCGCTCGATAGGTGAGCTGGCCCGCGGAGACGGGCACGGCCCGGTCAAGACTCCCCTACAGCAGCACCATCAGCAACAGCACCACCAGCAACAGCAGCAGCAGCAGCATCACCAGCAACAGCAGCACCACCAGCAACAGCAGCACCACCAGCAACAGCAGCACCTACAGCAACAACAGCATCACCAGCAACAGCAACTACAGCAACAGCATCATCAGCAACAACAACAACAGCAACAACAGCAGCAACAGCAGCAGCATGCTGTCCGGCCCCGTGGCCACGTCAAGAAGACCGACAGCTCCCAGCAGACTGACAATGGCGGCTTCCGGTGAGTTAGTAATAAAGCAAAGGCGAAATCAATTTCATCTTATTCCGAATGTGAACCTTACTCTTCCGTTTTCCCCAGGCAAATCTCCAACGTCCAGTGGAAGAAGTTCGTGGAGGGTGACCGCGTGCCGGAGCTGCTGCGGCCGCACACGGACGTGAGGGAGCCGTCCAGAGGCGGCGCCGGGGCCGGCGGGGGCGGCGGGGCCGGAGGCGCGAGGACCGCCCCCGAGGCGGGCCCCGGCCATGGCGCGCCCAACGGGGCCGCGCGCAGAAGCAACGGCGTGCACCCGGGCGCGGACCGGGAGCGGGAGCGACAGCGGCGGCCACCGGGTAAGCGTCCGAGTCCGAGTCCTCGGGTTGTCGTCGCGCACGTGCAGAGACCTGGACGCAGGTCGCGGGTTGCGGGCGTGTCTTAACCTTGGTGTGTTCGTGTGTCCTGCAGGGAAGGATGACGGACACGTGAGGTCCGAGAGGATGGACCTCCGCGGGCAACCGACGCCGCCGCCGCCCAACCACCCGCCGCCGCCCGCCCCCGCGCCGCCAAGCCCGCCCGGCCACGCCATGCCGGGGGCGGTCGGGTCCGGGGGCGGCGGCGGCGGTGGGGGTGGCGGCGGCAGCGGCAGCAAGAGCGGCAAGGTGCGGGGCGTGCCGCCGAGCTTCGGCTACGTGAAGAGACCCACGAGCAGCGGCAGCTCCAAGGGCGAGGCACGCACCGCGCAGGTGTCCGCCGTGCCGCGCACCAAGCTCAAGGTGAGTAGACAGACACGCGGGCCTCTTTGTAACACGGATCTCGCTGGCATCTGATTTGGAATGGGCGCATGGTCTCACAAAGTGCGAGACAAGTATTGACTTACGCTTGTGTGAGACTCCCTCTTTAAGTACAGTAATGCAAAACCGGGCTTTCTGAGTTTTCAAAGCGCAACCTGAACCTAAACTTAAACTCTCGTCAGGTTAGTTAACTGACCTAACTTGCCCGTCTTCTGTCTGCCGCAGGTCTCCGGTGGCACTCAGACGTGCACGAGCGACTACAAGTCGTACTCTCTGACGGGGCCGGCCGCCAGTCAGCTGTCTCAGAGCGTCCGGGACCGCCTGATGCAGGGCTCGCACTCGCTGCCCAGGAACGCGACGACGGCGGCCGCGGCCGACTACCCGTCGAGCACCGGGCCGCACCGGCCGTTCCGGCCGAGCGACGGCTCGCTGTCCGACTCAAACTACACCGACCTGCAGAGCTACTACAGCAGCCCGGCCTACAGCTCGTGGCTGCGGCACAGCTCGCACGGCTCCACCACGCTGCCCACGCGCTCCAAGTACGAGGGCATGTCCGAGGCGGACTCGATGGAGTCGCTGAGCTCGCTGCCCGCGCTGCAGCAGCACCGCGCCAGCCTCACGCACCCGCGGCTGCTCGCGCGGGACTCGGCGCGCCTCAACCGCAGCAACAGCATCCGCTCCACCAAGTCCGAGAAGATGTACCTGCAGCGCAACGAGGAGGGCATGAGCGTGCTGGGCTCGCTGGGCTCGCTGGCGGCGCTCGGGTCCAGCCCCAGCAGCCAGCACCTGTCCGCCAGCCTGGCGGCCATGGGCATGGGCGGGGCGCAGGGCGGGCCCGTGCCCTACCACCACCAGTCGCAGCCCACCAGCCCCACCGCCGGCCAGCTCGCGCAAGGCGCCAGCAGGTTCAACTACACCATGTCGTCCATCTCGGCGTCGGCCTCGAGCCACGGCATCAGCCGCACCAGCATGTCGCCGTACTCGGGCATGATGAAGTCCAAGGACGATGACGGTAGGTGACACCGGGAGGGTGACCCAATGGCGAGGTGGCTGGCTGCTCTCTCACGACGCGTCCTGTCGCTCTGTTGCAGTGCACGGGTCCTCGGTGAGCCTCGTGTCGACGGCGTCCTCGCTGTACAGCACGCCCGAGGACAAGCACGCGCACGAGATCCGCAAGCTGCGCAAGGAGCTCAACGACGCCCAGGAGAAGGTGCACACCCTCACCAGCCAGCTCTCCACTAATGTAAGTAGCTCGCGAGAAATCGCGTGAACGCAACGGCTAACCGCTTGGAAACCCGGCGCGAACAACAACAAGTGCGGCTCGATGGTGCCGCCGCGCCCCACCCCGGAATCTCGGCGTAACTTGCGCGAGGAATCCCACCATACTCGCTTGTGTCGTCGGAGTCTGCCACTCCGACATTCCTCGCGACACGGTCCGTACACCCCGCACACCCCGCAGAGGTTGCCGGGACCGAGGAGACGCCCTGGACCATAAGGTGCGCTGGAGCCCTTATCACAATCCCCTCACGTCGAATATCGAGGTCACTCGGACGCCATATCAACGAGTCTATTCTCACCACCCCCGTACCCCGTTCCCCGTGCAGCAGTTTGTCGTGCACAAGGCGATCATGTCCCCCCTCCCCCTCCCTCCCTGCTCCAGTTCCATCCTCGTCTGTTTCCCATCCCCCGTCCGATTCTCGCTCTCGCGCCGCCGTACGTGCGACTCCGCGTCCTGAATGTTAAGCAAACTCCATCCATCCCGCATCATGTAGGCCGCGAGGAGGAGGAGGAGGAGGAGGAGGGCGCGTGGGTGTGTGCGGACTCAATTTCTCCGATGCCGCGGGACGAGCAGGTCGCCGTTCACGTCGACGCGCACGTGGCGGGCGTCTCTTCCTCCTCGTCTCCTCATTAGCATGGCGCGAGCTGGCGCGTGCGTTGAGCCACATTCTGGTCCACGCCCCGCGGGAGGCTGGGGGGGCTGCCCCTCGAGCCGAGGACGTGCCGAGTTGTCGGCTGAGCCGCGAAGAGGTGGCGGCGTGCCCACCGTTCTCAGGTGGGGCCCACCTCATCAGGTCTCCCGCCCCGCCTCGCCCCGCCCCGCACGCCCAGTCTCGCCAAAGCTGATGACTCTCCAAGCCCATCGTTGACATGCCAGGTCAACCTGCCCCGGCTGTCGGTCGGCACGCGACTTAAAGGCCCACACGTTCGATTGGATGCTTTGATAATGATGTCACGACGCACACTGACGTCGGAACGCCCACGGCCAGAAGACCGTTCAGTCCAGAGAACCAAATTCAAAAACGACGAAATTTTAGCTGTGGAGACCAATTATTTTTATCCGTGGCGATGAAATAATTTAATGACTTAATTTTATTGGTGCGGCCATATTTAGTTTAAAATGGCGTTACTAAATTTTAGTCGGTTTTAGGAACTAAATTTTGTTTCTTACAACCCTGATGTAGTTTTATCAACAAAGTGGTTCTCTGGGTGTCGTTTTTATTTTTCGCCTCCCCGGTTACAGGCAGTTAATTTGACACCCGACATGGGCGTGACCCTCCCGTTTAATATCTGCAGGTGATAGGTCTGGCCCAGGGTTTCAGGTTCGACCCAGTTCCGGCGAGACGCTCTAGGACGCTGTGAGGGGTGGCGGGGGGTAGTCCCTGCGTCCACGGTGAGAGGGGGGTATCTCCGGGCGGGTGCGGCGTCGCGTCGATACCCCCTGCCGCTCCACGCTGGCTCCCGACATGAACGTCTCGCCCCCGATGCGGTCTGTGGTGGTGTATATCAAAGCTCATGCCTATTTTACATCTGGTCAATAGGAGTTAATTGTATTTTCCTGAAATAAATGGCCATACCGTTTGCGACAGCAAGTATCACCTTTTCTAAATGCGACTCGAAGCTCGAAGCATACAGAGGTGTGTCATTGTGGCGGCAGCCCGGGGTCTCGTGCGCCGTCAGGTGCCTGTGCACACACACCGCACGGGCCACACACAATGTGCTCGCTGTGGCGCCGCGGCGCCGCCTCGCCTCGCGCCTAGCGCTCGCTCATGCTGTTTGCTATTCGGGTCCCGTTCGGGTCGCATCGCGGCCGGGGCGCCGCGCACATGCACGCGCGGGCCGCGGCCGCGGTCCTCCTCTGCGCCGCGAAGCCCGCGCGCGACGCGTGTTGAGCTCGCGCTGCGACCTGTGGCTGGCTGTCCCGGGTCCAAGACTCTCCAGAGGCTGCGGCGGAGCCTGAGCCTAGCTACAGCCGCCTGTCGGCTCTCGTGTTCTCCGTGAGGGGCTACCGGGCCGCGACACTCATCACAGACTGCTCTCTCTCTCTCTCTCTCTCTCTCTCTCTCTCTCTCTCTCTCTCTCTCTC